TGAAATATCAGTCAACGAAAGTCACGATAATGCTTGTATGAGAATCTGTTAGCGTAGATTGATGTAGGTATATGCATAGTTGTGTACAAAGCAAGATAATGTGTATGTTGATATGTGTAAGGATGCCAATGAATGAAAGACCAATGTGTATCCACTCACACATGCACACACAATATAGTTATGTGTAATAGAGGTTGAAACGAATAAGAAAATTTTCATTCGATTCAATTTGTTTTTGGTCTCTGATAAGTAATCATAGTACGACATAGAGGAGGATGACATTTAAGTGTTCATTTTCTTTTCAAAAGATATATATAAGAAAACTTTCAGAAAAAAAAATTCGGTTAAACCTTGTACATGTCAACGAATTGATTCTCGAAATTATCACTTATCAAAATTCTGTTTTATTACTATTTAGTCTTATGGTGATCCAATACTACTCGTCAATGAAGAAATTAATTCATATCAATCAGAATCTGAATCTACATTATTAGACTGTGTTACAAAACCAACAACAACAACAATAATAAATCATGATAAATCTCAAGCAACACCAAATCAACGTTTACGATACGATCGTCATGAACTTTTACGTATTCGTGATAGTTCAGGAACATTTGCAATTCCACTTAATCTTCCTGATCTTAATAGTGTTCTTAGTCGACGTGATAATAATAATAATCCACATTATTCCTATAGAGGTCAGAGATCCGATACTCGCCGAGTTTTCCTGCCTCGCCTTGCGGCAAGGCGAGGCGGCATTCTTCGTACTGAGGCGAGTACGAGTTGACCGTGTGACTCGACTACTTACAATGTAACTTTTGGTGAATAAATGGGAAATCTCTAACAACACCTCTTGATTTTATTGTAGATTATTTAAAGCGTTTCCATTGGTGATGAAGTTTAAATAATTGCGACAATAAATACGTACACATGCATACATCTTTATATCTATTCAATCTAGTTGAGGGATTTTATTTATTTAATTCTCAGTGCGCATTTAGTAATGCATCTTGATTATGGTATGATTCTTCAATAATTTACAATATAAATTTAATTATAGATACGCACTATGTGCTCGACAAAGTGTTGTTCTTTTCCTTGGGAGCATTATCGATGTTTCACAAAAGATTTATTCCGCTTCTCATAGTGTTAGTTATATGCTATCAAATAACGACTGATCGAGAAGTTTTTTTACAAAAATCTTTGTTCTTGTTTAACTCTCTTCAGAAAGTATTGTAGGTGAGTGGAAAACTATGGATTGGAACCACAATTTTCTGATTCTTCCGAACATAGGTTCACACATTGTGTATCTGTTTTAAGCCAAAAACAGTGATGAAATCTTTGAAAGACCTAAAAAAATATTTTGGACGAGTCAGTCGGACCAAAGTTTCTGGACAGTTTTTTTGTTCATATTCGACCTACTTGAAAGTATTCCATACGAATGAAGAACTGTGGATTGAAGCTAGAATTTAGTGCACTTTCTAAATATGGGTTCAGAAATTGTACATCAGGTTTTGTTCAAGAGTAGTGAGGAGATCTTTATATGTTCTGAAAAATTGGTGTGATTAGCGGACTGCCAAACATTTGCTAGCTTCCGTAAATTCCCCTAGAAAGGTGCTAAAAATGATTGAATTTGGTAATTCTGTAGAGCGAACAATTCTTCACAAAATATGATCTCGAACTAAAATGTAGCTTTTGCACAAGTGAAACAATAACAGCTTCAACAAGCGTAACGCGATGACGTTTTGGCCACAGTTTTATTAACTTTTCTCAGCAATCGGGTTGCCAAGAAGGTTCGTTCTTTCGTTGGAAGATATGTCTCTGCCTTCTCCGAAGTCTCTGAAAATATGAGCTCGTTTGAATGAGCCGTTTGAAAATTTGAGCCAAAATAGATGACTTAACGCGATGACGAAAAAAGGACAAAAAGTTGAGGGTGACGTGTTTGTTCTTTATTTTCCTGCAAATGTGTGCTGTATTAAAAGAAACATCCTATAGACGTTTTGTAGCCGGCAGTTTGAGGTATCCAACGAAAAAGAATTCTTCGAACAGACTTGAGAGTCTGGGTGTGCGTGCGCATGTGGTTATTCCATTCAAACACGCCCACACCCGACACGCACATACACCGACACCCACCGAAACTCGCACACACCCCACACTCCACACCCACATCCTGCTATAAACCCAATGATATAGGAGCATTGTATTTTTATTCCATTTTTTCTTGAGTGTATCTTATTTTATCTCTATTTTTCTCTAGAAGTTGAGGAAAATACAAACGAAATAGAATAACTTTTTAAAAGATAAAACTAAATATCTAATGGACCTACATCATAGGATTGATAGGTCGAATCCGTTCCTAGCCAACACACGAGCAGATAATTCTTTTAGACCGAATATTACAATGAGACAAATGTATTAATATTTTTATAAACAATGAAAAATGGATTCTCAATAATAAGAATGAAATTCAAAATTTTGTTTGACTACGTTAATTAGAATATCACTTTTGCCAAGTATCTGTTGTATTCAAGATACGATATTGAGTTATCTTTTAAACTTGTGCATAATAATAAGGGTTCCAGTTATTTGCCTGTTTGGACCATGTATATAGTTGAAGATACTTAGATAATTGTATAAAAGCAATCGATAGATAATAGCTATGAATGTTATCAAATTTATCTAGTAATAATTCTATTTGCATCCACTTATCTTCAAATTTCCAGATGCAGCGTTTTAGATGTCATTTTACATTATCTAATTTCTGAAAATAAAAAAAAAAAGAAATATGCAACTGATTATGATGATTAAATAAATACAGAAGCGTGTTTTTCCTTTCCAAAATGGATGCTTTTATTCGATAATAGAAATGAATTTTCCTACGTAAACGAAAATACAAATATTTTAACAACTTGAAACAACTCTAAAATCCTTTCTGGAAAGTGTATCTATCAATTATTTTTGTTTGAATCTAGTTTCGACTAGAAGCTGGCATTGTGAAAAATTTGCAATCAGTTCACTATATATAATATAGTGCATACTTCGATTGATTTTTAAAAAATTGAGTTTTGTTTTATATTTTTTGTAAAACAATAAATATTTATAAATGACAGTCCATGTACTGTCAATGTCAGCTAGGTGAAAGATCATGCATATTAAGAGAGCATCCATGAGAGCACCGAGGAACCTAGGCACTGGTCAAACTTTAGATTTTTGATTTCTTATGTGCATTTGAAAGAGCATAGTCTAAAACTATCAAATCTAAATTTTTAGCTCATTTCGATGCACTATAGTAAAGTTAGTCAATACCGACTTCTGAGTATTATCAAGTTATTATCAAAAAAAAAAATAGTCGAAAATTGTACCATAAATGTTTATTTAAGATAATGCTTCAACAAAACAGAGAATTTCTTCGCGGAA